CCCCAAAACCCCAAAACCCCATTGAGATTGATTTTAAAAAGATCAGATCTATTCAGAAATCTATTATAAATTCTAGCTTCAATAATTTTTATTAAAAAATGTAAATTAGTATGGAGCATTAATTTACTTGCTATTTAGTATCATGAAATAATCTGTCTTATTACTCTCGTTTTCCCAAGATTTTCTTAAGTTTTCGATTACTTCGTCAATGTCTTCAATCCTATCGATATAGAAGTATTCATTCTAGAGTAACTCATCATTAACTTATTTTTTCCCAATCTATAAATTTCTTAAATGTTCAATCTTCACATTAGAACTACTGATGTTTTATAATTCCTAGTATGAAGATAATACAGCTCCACCTAATGCTTTATATTCATTGTTTTTAGTCTTAATGAAACCCATTTCAAAAATTTTCCAGTAAATAGATGCAATTTATTGGATTTAATCAGGAGAAGCATTTAAAGACAATGTTCCCAGTTTTTAAAGATTTTGAGCTATTTTTTTAGATCCAATAGGAATAATGTGGCCCAATAAATCATGGATATAATCAGGGTAAGGTGAGAATAGAAGGTCATCCGTTCGACGAATAATCTGAGTAGAGCAGTATACACGGTTAGAAAGCCCTTCTAAATAGTCTTAGTCAGATATTAAACCGGGAACAGGTCTAACTTTCCATCCTTAGTGCATCTGAATTTGCGACGAAATAGTCTTGAGCTGAGGAATTTCATTTTCTGATAACTTAACACTTTTTGAAATTCTATCAAATGCATCTTATACCTCTTCACATGCATGGTTTTCTAAGATCTTAAGGTAGTTGTTGTAAACCGTAGCCCAAATAAATTTTTCATCCTTATTATATTTTATTATTGGTATTGTAGCATTTTCAATGTCGTACTGTGCCATAATCTTGTCTGTCCTACTAATGTAATCTTTATCGCTATATATTTGAGATAGACTCTTTGCTGATTTAATATTTTTCTTCAAAAATATTTCCTGCTTCATTATTTGAGATACTTCTCCTTTGAATAAGTTTCTAGTTAGTTTTTGCATGACTTAATATGTTTAAAGTTTGATAATAATTGAATTATATAACTGATGTCTTCTACTTATATCTATAGTTTTACAATTTACTCAAGCAGTTATCGCAAATATTAATAACTTAAATGACTCTTATTTTTATCTTATGGGGTTTTGGGGTTTTGGGGAGATCGGAAGAGCACAC